GGAGTTGTAAAACCGGGAAATTCTTCCCCCTCTGCGAAACGGTATTTGTCTGACTCCCCCTATACTACTTTCGGACGATAAATAGAGCATACAAAGGAGTTCTGGAAGCCCGAGTAACAAGCAAGTTATTATTAATAAACTAGTGGTATTGATTCTCCCGTCATGATTCGACCTCGAGGCTACCACAGCTCTGCTAATTTTGTAAATGATGAGATATCAAGTTAAAAGACTATTTTCGACAAAATTTATAATTAAGGTAAAAACCTTGGTAGCATTCATTTAAGATAAGTCACGATTTTCAGCCTTTAGCGGCAAAAACAAATCGACGGTTTAACTCCCGCATCCCGTTTCGCATTCAACAGGTATTAAAAAACAATTTAATAGCGATTAAATCCAGCGACATTTTCACTGAATCATCACAGGAGACGAAAATGAACACTAACACACGTACGATGACAGAAATGATCGCTTGCAATAATATATTTTCAAGCCATCATCAATCGCTGATGAGTGCAAACAATTCTTGACTGGAAGGTGTGACACGTTCTCGACTCGTTGTGTTAAAACTTGAAAGAAGAGAAAATTGAACAATTCGGGTACGGGGTAAAATACCTAATTGTGCATATGTTATGTGGACATTGTTGTGTCACTTGTTGTCATATTTTGGCGAGATGTAGTTCAAGTTGAAGCGCAATGAACACAGAAAAATACGAATGAAAAAATGAAACTGATATGTTACTGTCGCGCCTCCGAAGCGATGCCGCAGAGCTGTGAATCTACGCTTGGCAATAATCAATATTCATGATGCTAAAGATTCAACAAGGATATTCATTAAAGGAAAGTCTAATTTGCCATCGAAGAACACTAGGAGAATGTATTTCTCTAGTCAAATGTTGCTATTTTAATTACCCTTTTTGTGCCAGTCGCAGGCTAACTTTGTTATGGCCGCACTTTTTTAGCATTCTTCTGGCGTAATCGGTATTCCAAAATTCCAGCAACGCTGCTAACACACCATAGTGTCCTATCGTCTTCTATCGTAATCGGGGTTCCAAAATTCCAGCGACGCTGCTAACACACCATCATCTCCTATCGGCCTGTTAGTGACGGAATGCGAGTTTCAGTGAGCTTTTGTTCACAAATTATATTTTATGACATCGACAACCGCAAGAAATACCAGCTCTGCCGCCGAAGATCGAATTGCCCGTTTCCAAACGCTCAAGGTTCTTTTTCTGGTAGAAAACAATTCTTAGGGAGACCTTTTGCTTGGTGATCCTTTTATTTTTACATAAAGCAGGCTCGGCCTCCCGCTTATTAAGGAAGAGCTTTCTTGTCCCTTTCCATGACCTCGCAATTATCCTCCATTTTCCATACCACGCGCTGGTGCTTCTTGTCAGAATCACGTGATTATGATCGAATCATGACGGGCGAATCATGTACGGGAGAATCATGTTTCAAAAACCCGGGTCTATACACTTCACTGAAATTGGCTGTAAATGTTGTGTTTGTTTTTGTTGACACTGTCATCAGAGCTCGAGCAGTCCGAACTAGTTTAGGCAAGAAATTCAATGCCGAAGAGTTTCTATTTCTATCTCATGGAGAAACAATTTCTTCATGAGAAATCGTGTACACATATCTTTGATTTAAAGTGATGAATTGAATAAAGAAATCAAACTCGCATACTCAAATTTTTCGGTCTGTTTAAAGAGTTCGAACGCCACCACCTTCGATTTCTATGAACAACGAATAAGGGACAGTCATGCGATTAAACTGATGGCGAACGGCCTGGAGGAGTGGATTAGTCTCCTAAGTTGCGAGCCTTCACTCATTATCATTATTATTATTATTGTTATTATTATTATTATTATTATTATTGTTATTATTATTATTATTATTATTATTATTATTGTTATTATTATTATTATTATTATTATTAACATTAATATTGCCCCAGTTCCTTTCATCGGTGTTGAAGTGTTAAACTTAGCTCCCAGAATCAAGACCAACGTCTACGTAAAACCAACTAATACGGGTCTCTTACTCCACTACAAGAGCCACTTGGATAATCGGTACCAGCGCAGTTTAATTACCACCATGCTAGATCGAGCTTACCGCATATCTTTCGACTGGTCGTACTTCTCACAAGAATGCGATCGACTTGAGACCGTGTAATTAAAGTTTAAGTACTCGAGGCACTTATTCAATTTGGCTGTCAAGCAATTCGTAGATTCCAAGGTAGCAGATCAGCAGCACATTCCATCAACCGAAAAAGACTACACCTACCATCCGAGTTATCATACCATTTAATGACCAGGCCTCTGCTAATGTAGTGAAGAAATGTCTCACAGACCTTAGCTCAAAAATCAAGACCACAATTTAGCCATCATCAGCAGAAAACTCAACGAAGACCTTAAAGTTTGAGAAGTCAAACCAGCCACTGCTAACCAACATTGCCTAGTTTATAAATTTCAATGTAACCTGTGTGATGCAGGATATGTGGTTACACTCGCGGCCACCTCCACGACCGCGTTGATGGACACAAACAAAAAATCGTCGTCAATTTGCAATTGTAAACATTATTTGAGCGAACATAACTCGAACGTACCTTCTTGTCTTTCAGAACAAATCCACGTGCTTATTAAATTTTCCAATAAATTTGATTGCCTATATAAGGAGATGCTTTTTGTAAGGAGACTTAACCATCCCTAAACGTGCAAACGAACTCGATTCGCACAAAGGTATTCTCTTGAAGAACTTGTGAACCTTTGCTATTATGCTAATTCGTAGACACTGTATATAAATCAAATCTTCGTTCGCATTATTTATTCACTTTGCCTTGAGAATGGTGTTACGATGACGCCAAAACGTCGGCTTTTAACGTTAATATTCGCTTGCTTATGTTTTAAGAAATCGTTAGTGATCAATATTAATATTATTATTACTATTACTATTACTATTATTATTATTGCTATTGTTATTATTGTTATTATTATTATTATTATTATTATTATTTTGTTAGGTTTCGTTTTTTGTTGTTGTTGTTGTTGTTGTTTTTTATTTTCCGAGCTGATACCACTTTATTTTTGCATAATTACACTTTTGAAAACTTAATTTTACATATTTATTTCTCGTAATTATTGTAATTATTGGATGTTCTGGGATGTTCTGGAATGTTTCGGGTTGTTCCGGAAGGATCCATGCTCCGGATTTTATCGACGCCCCTCATAATCTTTGATTACTACTAGTAATAGAAACATACAGGGGTTACTCTTTCCTATTTATACCCACTCGATTAGTCTCCAAATATTGGAAAGGAGACTGGTCTTTCAGTTAATTAGACCTGGTTTAAGCTTGCGCGATAAGGGAGACTGGTCTTTTAAGGGAAATGTTAGACGATATGTCTCGATTTTGATCTTGATGGAAAACGAATTAAATGCAATAAATAAATTAACGTGATCCCATTGGACCAACCAAACAGGTTTTTTGGGAAAACAGAGTAAGACTGCTCGCTGTCTATCCCGCGATCTGACCTCTGTTGGAATTAGCATAGTCAGACGTCGTGCTTATACCTGCCGAACTCAAATGAATTTGTCCTAATCTGCGTAGTATGCGTTCCCTTAAGAAGAAGCTTTTCCGCAATCTGACATCGCGTAAATTGGAGCGAGAGCAAAATATTGATGAAGCAGGGATGTCGGGGCAAATTGCGGAAAAGCTCAGCCTCGTAACGTTTCTTACGGAACGCTTGCTACGCAGGCTAAATTTGTCCTGGCGGTGGTTTGAAACGTCGAATTTAAATCAGTCGTGCAGAAGATCAGAAGAAGTTTGCTTTGCTGATGAACAGTTTAAGACTACAGATTAATTTTTTGTTCCTTGACATTGCAATTGTTTACAATCTGTGTATAATCTGTACCAAACATAGCCGATATATATAAGCCTTAAATAACTTTTGAAGATGGATTTCAACTTTAAAACAACGATTTACCTCATACTGAGGAATTTGGAAATTGAAAAAACTTTTACGTGAGCGGGACTGCGAGTGCCATTATTGAGGACTCGAAACACGGTTGTATTTAACCATCAATTTTTCTTTTTCCTTTGTTATCTGGCACTATTAACGCTAACTAATTGAAGACGCCAGGAACAGCGACAAAATAATCAAAGAATAGGCCAATTCCGATATATTAAAATTCTAACTTGACTCCGAGGCTTAGGGGAATAAAACAAGAAATAAATTATTAATCTCTCATCCTCGATGCGATTTCTATTGTTTTATTCCCCTAAACCTCGGAGCTAAGTTAGAATTTCAATATGTCGGAATTGGCCTATTACTGTAGCCCTTCAAAACGTAGCTGGGAGCACCACTGTTAGAAATATATGGAGTAGTTAGTCTATAAATTCGTAACTTAGTTATGCAAATAAGTTCACT